CTCCACCATATCAGTGACCATGCCCCCAGCCCTTCTTCACCATGTCAATGACCATCCTTCGAAGACTCTGCCTCTGCCTCTTGTTCAGATTCTGGAAGATGTCACAATTCTCCTCCTGCAGCAGCTTGAAGCCCACAGCCAGGTGGTGATTCTCTAGCACAGACTCATCATTGTACATCAGGGCTAATTCTGAGTCTGGGGATAGGGCACTTCAAGTCAGATGTAGGGGAGGGTGCCTCAGCCTAGCCTCTTCCCCACTCCCCACACCAAGGGCTCTTCTTCACCCTGCCCCTCCCTCCTGGGTATCCCCCCTCCTCACTTTCCTCTCCCAGGATCCCTCTCTTGTAAATCCTTCCCACCCTTCCTCCAAGGTCTTTCCCCAATGACCCTTCCACACTCCAGAGACCCCTCCTCACTTCAACCCACTGTCCCCAAGTTCTAGTTACTCTAGAACTAGGGGTAAGGGTGTAGGGGCTTAAAGACTTGAGGCATCTCTGGAGGTTGAGAGATTCAGAACTGGAAGGGATCTTCCTGGGTCCAAACCCTTCATTTGGGAAGGAGGAAAACTAAAGGCAAAAGGGATAAAAGCTTTGCTGAAGACAGGAGAAAAGGTCTTACTGGTATTGATGAGGAACTGGTTAGAGACCCCTGGGTGGTCGACATCGTGGATGGCGGCAGCGAACAAAGCAGCTAGGATTTCCAGGTCTGTGAACACGGCCTAGGGGCACAGGGCACAAAGGGGCAAAGGGATAAGGGACCTCCTCCCCAGCAGGGTGAAAGAGAAACAGGGGCCCAGAAACACAGAAGGGGCAGGTTCCAACAGGAAGGACGGGGTTAGGCAGCAAGCAATAAGCAAAAAGGTAGGGGCTTGTGTGATCATGTAATGTCTCTCCTTTGGTGACTCCTCATGGCCTGCTGACTTAAATAAAGGAGCCATCATGGAACAGTGGAAAGATGCTTAGCTTCTGTTGTTTTCAGTCATGTCTGACTCTTCATGATTCCATTTGGGGTTTTCTTGACAGAGATACCGGAGTGGTTTGCCATTTCCTTCTCCAGCTCATTTTACAGATGAGGAAACTGAGGCAAACAGGGTGAAGTGACAGGGTTACACAGCGAGTAAGGGTCTGAGTCCAGATTTGAACTCAGGAAGATGAGTCTTCCTGACTCCAGCCCTGGCATTCTGTCCGCTGAGCTACCTAGCTACCCTAAATGGAGAGATTACTAGTCCTATATTCAGAGGAGCTGGGTTCAAATCCCACCTTTGGGGCTTATTACTTATGAGTGATCTTCCGTAAGTCACTTAGTATCAATCAATAGACACATTTATTATGTGCAGGCTATGTGCTAGGTATGTGTTAAACGCTGGAATCTCATTAGGCCTCAGGTTCTTTCATGTATAAAATGAGGGTTTGACATTTCTAACTACCTATCTAGGAACTAGACAGATGATCCTCTAAATTCTTGAGTCTGACATTCAAGGCCTTCTATAATTTTATACTACTGCTCCCCTTCATGTACGCCCTCCATTTTATTTTATTTTATTTTATTTGGCTAGGCAATGATGTTAAATGACTTGCTCAGGGTCACACGGCTAGTAAGTGTCAAATGTCTGAGGCCAGATTTGAACTCAGGTCCTCCTGACTCCAGGGCTAGTGCTCTATCCACTAAGCCACCTAGCTGCCCCTACACCCTCCATTTTAGATAAATTTGACTTTTCTCCACACCCTTCTACTGTTCTTCCCTCTCCATCTTCATTCCTTCGCTTATACCTTCCTCCAGCCCTCTCTCCTTTCTTCCAGACCCAGTTAAGGTGCCACCCCCTGCAAGGATACCATGGTCTAGTGGAAGTCAGGAAGACTTGGGTTCAAATCCTGTTTCAGTCAGGTAGGTGACTCTGGGCAAATCATTTAATCTCTTTGTGCCTTATCTGCCTAGTAAGAGGACTGGGTGACTTCTAAGATCTCTTCCAGCTCTAAATCTAGAATATCTTAAAGTCTTCTATTCCCTCATCTCTCCTTCCTCACATTTTCCTAGGAGACTCTGCATCTGCCCCTGTCACACCCAACCTGGTATCTCATTTATTTCTGTATGATTAGACTGTAATTGCCTAAGAGCAGATCCTATGTCCTAGCTGACTCTGTAAACCTAGCACTGAAGGAATAGCTTTGAACAGAATCATTAATAAGTATTTCTTGAACTGCATTGGGCTTGAAGGATTCCGGGGGCCCAACGGGGTTTAGGAGGGCAGGAGGATGCGGGGAGGCAGGGCTTACATCAAGCGCTGGTGTGGCCAGAAGCACGTGTGTGGACTGCAGAACATCGGCAGCGTGTAGGCTGTTGTGATAGGCCACGTCAGCATGGTAGTGGTCCTCCAGGGTCAGCATGTAGGTGACCAGTGTGTCCACTGGGATCTTGAAGGTCTTCAGCAGGTCCCTCTCCTAGGAAAGAGCCAGGCGGTAGTTGCTGTCTCATCCCCAAAACCTTCCTTCATTGATATGTCCCTTAACCCCTCAGGAGAAAGTGATCTTGGCCTTGTCAATTTCTCAGAGCCCTATACAAGGATGCCTCATTTGCCCCTCTCCCATTCCACCCCACCCCCATCCCCCACCTCAGTCACCCCATAAGAACCCATCCCTCACACCTGGAATATGGTATACATAATACATCCTAGCGATCGGCCATTGGAGAACTCAGCTACTCGGAAGATGTTAAGGCCCCACTTGTTCAGGTTTTCCAGCTCCTGGTAAGATGGGAGAAGGAAGCACAGACCTAGGGTCAGAGGCCTATAGCTTCCCCCCAACCTCAGTATGCTCACAGAAGGCCTGCGAGGGACCTCTGCCCAATGCCGCATTCTTAGAGGGGGAGACTGGGGTGCTAAAAGACTGCTGTGCCCTCTGCCTAAGTAGAGCTAGTTACACACACATCACTTCACCTGCAGGATGATGTGAGAAGCACTGGGAAGGTTCCCTTTCAACCCCAAAATATCTCCCCAGCCAGCCTATCATAGGGGCTAAAATTTCACCTCTAAGTCTTCCTTTGGGTTAAGTCAGGGGTGGGGAACCTGCGGCCTCCAGGACACATGCGGCCTTCTAGGTCCTTAAGTGAGGCCTTTTGACTGAATCCAAATTGGATTCCAATTTGATCAAATCCAAATTCAGTCAAAAGACCTCACTTAAGGACCTAGAAGGACGCATATGGCCTGAAGGCCGTGGGTTCCCCACCCTTGGGTTAAGCTATTGACTAGCTATAAAAATGAGACACCCCTAGCAGAGGCAAAACAGTGTGTGAGACCTTGGGCAAATCACCGTACTTCCTTGCCTCAGTTTCTATAACAAGGAGGTTGGACTAGCTGATTTCTGAGGGGTCCTTTCAGCTTTAGATCTGTGGTCTTGTGATCCTAAGTCCCTTCCTCCCTTTCTGGGCTTCAGTTTCCTTCTCTGAAAAGGATGGAGATTAGATGAAGAGCGAAAGTTCTTGACCTTTCTGGTGTCACAGACCCCTTCGGCAGTCTGGTGAAGTATACGGACCCTTTCTCAGAATAATGTGTATCACTTACGTGCACAATTGAAAGAAATGCTAAAGTCCAATTAGAGGTTAATAAAAATAAAGATATAATAGTTTTTTACCCAAGTTCATGGGCCCCCTTAAAATCACTCAGGATCCATGGAGTCCAGATTAAGAATGTATGATCTCATAGCCCCTTTCTGCTCTTAAAACAACAAGGCCTCAAATTGAAAGGTTATCATTGATTAATGCCTCACTGTGAATCACTCAATCATCCTCTCCACAGGGGAATGGGGAGCTGGAGAGGGTCTGATTCAGACTCCAAGAGGAGCTGGTAGATGAGTACCCATGCAGAGAGGTGCACACAAATACGCACCTTGCCCAACAGCTCCTCCTGGTCAGTCTTGACCCCAAATCGGGGGATGCCAGAGTTGCTAAGACTGGAACTATGTGTAAGCTTTTTGACCCCACTGATTTGGGACATGGGTTGCCTCTGTGGCCGTTGCTGAAGCTGCTTTTCCTGCTCCTTGGGCGGAGGGGATGGTATCTCTACATCAGCCTGCTTGTCTATAGAGGACGGGGAAAGAGAGATCCAGAGGGCATAAGCACTCCTGGCATGGCCCCTGTTTTCCACCAACACCCCCCCCACAGGGATAGGGGGAACCCTTTCAAGGATCCCTCCCTCCCTAGGGTCTGGTGATCCCTGCTGCACAGGAGTAGATGAGGTCCTTTGGTAAGCTCACACTGGAGGAGGCTGTCTCGAAACCACTCATCTGGATGGCTATTCAGTGGCTGGAAACCACAGAAGACACAGGGAGCCCTTCGTGATGACATGGGTCTGGGTAGGGCCAGATGACCAGGGTTGGGGTTGGGGTTTAGGTTGGGGGCTTGGAAAGAGGCTGGGCCAGGGGGCATAGAGGCCTGGTAGCTGGTAGTCAGAGAGGGCAGGAATGGGGATGAGGACAACAGAGTGAGGCGCTGAAGGCCACAGTTGGACAGGGAGGCTTCATGGCCTGGCAGTAAGCTGTAGTAGTGGCTTGAGTTAATCCGAGCGCTGGAAGGTGGAGGCAGCAGAGGAGGGAGGGGGATGGGTGCTGGGGCCTCGGGCTCCATGGCCCCCCCAGGCACCATCGAGGGGGGCGGGGAGGGGGCGCAGGGCACCCTCTCCCAGGGGTTTCCTGCACACACCCCCTCACTACACTAAGAGCTGCATTATGATCTCAGGTAGTCCACTAGCCAATAGCTCGGGACTACTTGGAATGTATTTGCATACCAGTCTCCCATTGGCAAGAACCCTCAGAGCTAAGCCCTGATCCCTGAGATGGACCTCTTCAACATTTCAGGGGGTTATCTATTACCAAATCCTCCCTTTCTTGGGGGACTTCTCTGCCCTGGTCGTGGTCCCCAGTTAAAGATTTTTCATCCTCAGCGGCCCTGAGGTTGAGAGTCAGGGCTCAAGTATACACACTGTGCTCTTGCTGGGCTGGAGCCCAACAGGCTCCCCACTCACTCACCCAGGAAGGTGGTGGAGATGTATTCAGAGACCTGGTTTCCTGACCGGCTCATTTCCGATAAGTGTGTCAGCTCACGGTTCAGCATCCTCTTGAACTATCAAGCCCAGTGTCGTGGAAGGTAAGGGGAGAAATGGGAGACATGGTGAGGAGGAGGAGGAAGGGGATGCTAATTCAGGCCTGGGGGGCAGTGGAGTATCTGAAGAGGGGCTCACCAATTTAGAATTCCCAAACCTCAGGGCTTGAAGGAAGTTCAGCAAACATCCTTTATTTTATACAGTAAAGTCAAAGGAAGTGAGGTATCATCAATTCTTAAGCCAGTCAGTAAACATTTATTAAGTGCCTACTACGTGCCAGGCACTGCTCAATCCCCTTCCTTGCTAAACTCTTTATGCTTCCCCTAGCATCCCTCTTTTTTTTTGTATAACCCTTGGGGACTGCCAGGGCTAGAAAGACACCAGAAGAACCTTCCCTCCCCATGCCATGGGGCTGAGCTCTGGCCAAGGGGATATTTGAGGAAGTACACTCTTTCTTTTATCCTCCCCCCTCCTTGTAGGAGAGAGGGGTCCATGCTTGGTGGTAGGACCCTAGAGTCCAATGGCCCTAGGGGAGGGGGCACCCCGCCAGTGTCAGGAAGGCAGCTGGAGGAAGGGGAGGGGCTCCTGCCTCTCTGGTGGAGCCAATGGAGTGGAAAGAGAGCTCAGTCTCCATGGTGATGGGAGTCTCCTCAGCAACTGCCCCTCCAACCAGCGGCTCTGGCTGCCGGAGGTGGGGGTGCAGCCAAGGGCACCTTAACCCCCAGCTTCTCCAGACCCCAGGCCAGACACTCTTGGGAGCTGTGGGGTACTGTGTTCCTGGGTACTCTGGAAAGTACAAGCAGCCAGGAACGTTGCTCCTAATCCATTCTGGGGCTTGTCCCTGGGGAGTTCCAAGCATCCTGGCTCTCAGCCACTGCCAAATCTGGAATGTCCTTGGGTGGGGTGGGGGTCCAGGCTTACACCACTCTCAGGAGGAAATAGGGGTATGAAGCCTCAGAGTGAATATGGGGACTCCCTAACGGAGGGGGATTAAGAGTAAGCCTTTTCTCTCACATACTGTCCTCCCCGGCCTCAACTCACAATTCACACACACACACACACACACACACAAACACACACACACACACACACACACACACACACTCAGGACAGTAGAGTGAACAAAGGAGACAGCAGCCTAAAATCAGAGAGCCTGGGTGGGTGGGTAGGGGTGCTGCCTGTGCCTGCTTGTCCCAACTCCAGACTACATACAAGACACACATAGGCATAAGCATGCCAGGCCTGTGACATTGTAATTGAAGGAGGAAGGACACAGTCCTTGGATATCTGGGGCTCTCTCTGGTGGCCCCCACAGTCATAATGATGACCCCTAAGGTTGGAGATTTCCCCTTTCCAACCTCAGGTAACCCCAACAAACCCCTAGATAACACAAAGCCCAGAGTGGAAAGCAGGGGATGAGGGTTTACTTTAGTACTGTAATCTGACCCCTATAGTTTAGGGGTGTTTGTCTTAGTGATATTGATGGGAAGTGAGGAAGTCAGGTAGTCATCATAAAAACAGGGGCTTCCCAAGTGCTGGCCCAGGGCACTGGGGGTCTGCACACTCATACTCAGAGAATCACATATAGTCACTAGGAGACAGGTTCACAAAGAGGGTCACGGTCATAGACACACACAGAGAGGCACAAACCACACATGGCCACAGTCACACAGGCTCAGAGACAAACACAGAAACACTCTCCTATAGGGACAGTCACAGGCATCTATAAGTCACTTACATACTCAAGAGTCACAAACTCACAAGTCATAGTTACAGACCTCCCCCAGGTCCAGTCACATATACAGCCATGGAGATGGAGAGACACACAAGTGCAGAGCCGCAGACACAATCTTGGACACACAGAGGCACAGACACACACAGGGCACAGTCATAGACAGAGACACACAGAAACCTCATTCTGGTCATGGAAATACATAGGTGTAGGCATGGACAGTCATAGTTACATGCCCTTAGAGGTGAACAGAGCCAAAGAGACAAACACATAGAGAATCATGGACACACATAGGGTAACACATACATAGACACAGGCACACAAGCTGCAGACGCGCACAGATGTACAAAATCACAAACACAGATAAAAGGAGAGACAGGCAGGCACAGACAAACAGGGTTGGTTACAAGTTACACAATTCACACACAAGAATAACAGATGCTCAGACCACAATCACAGATAGACAGACAGATCCAGGATCAGAGATACACACAGTCACACACAGTCTCACACACACACACACACACACACACACAGGTCAAACATCCAGGGTCACAAATAACACATAGTCATACACACAGGGTCATAGACACTCAGATCCCAGTCACATACAGACAATCAGGGTCATAGGTACACACAGTCTCTCTCTCACACACACACACACACACACACACACAGGGTCACAGACACTCAGATCACAGTCACATACAGACAGACAAATAGGGTCACAGACACACACAGTCACATACAGGGACAAAGACGTGTAGACCAGAGTCATAGACAGACATTCAGGGTCATAGATGCACACAGTCACACAGAAGGGCATAGACTCTCAGCTCATAATCACATATACACATACTGACTGAAACCTAGGGTCACACATACACACAGTCACACACAGGGTCACAGACACTCAGATCATAATCACAGACAGTCACCCAGGGTCACAGATTCACACAGTCATGCACATGGAGCCACAAGCCGCAGATCACATCATACATAGTCACAGACACACATACACTGGGTTGCAAACACATAGGGTCACAGAGACACATATAGTCACAGACACAGAGATTCAGAGGTGGCGGCAGCAGTATCCATGAGAGCTAAAACTAGAGTGTCCCCTCCCTGTTCCCCAGCCCTGGCCCTGCTGGGCTCCCTACCTGGTCCCACCAGCCCACCAGCCATGGTTTGGAGCAGGTCTCACAGAAGAAATCCACCAGTGGCATCTTCTATCCTCAGCCCCCAGCCCGGGGCAGGGGGGAGGCCAGATGCAGGTGGTGGAGCAGGACAGGGTGGTGTCCCGGGTGGGGGCAGTGGGCCGCTGGGTTGGGGAGGGGGTCCTCTCCCCCTTTGGTGGGGGGCCAGGGACACAGGCAAACAGAAATTATGAGGACCCTGTTGTTTGGGCCCCAGCCTGGGTACAGAAATGGCTTCTAGGATCCTGGCGGGAGACTCAGGCCGCCTGGCTTGGGTGGGGGGGGGGCCGGGGGCTTTCTCCTCTAAGGCTGCAGCCCCCTCCCTGCTCCCAGCTCCCCGGCCCAGCCTGGCCAAGCCTATTACATCCTCCGGGTGCCCCCAGGCCAGCCCTGGCAGGCCCCCCAAGCTCTCTCTGGCACTTGCAGTCCAGAGGTCCCCCTGACAGCAGCAGCAGCAGTAGCAGGGGCAGCGGTAGCGGCGGCGGCGGCAGCAGCAGCAGGGTCAGAGGGAGGGGAGGGACATCTTCCCATGGAGATGGAGGAGGAGGCGGAGGCAGCAGGAGGAGGGGGAAAGTAAGAGGCTGGACTTCTGAGGTGGGCGAAGGGAGGGGGGATCAGTCAGGGTTCGGGCCCCTGTGGGGCTGCTCCCCACTGGGCCTCAGCAGCGGAACCGCAGGCAGGATCCCGGGTGTTTGTGCGCGTGTGTGCGTGTGTGCATGTCCCAGCCCCTCACTGCAGCACTGGCAGAACACACTGGGATGTGATGTCAGGTGGTGCTGGGGGGCGGGGGGGGGGGGGGGGGGGGGGGGGGGGGGGGGGCTGTTAAAGGGGCAAAGGGAGCAGGAGGAAGGAACATCAGTGCAGGGATGCAGGGATGGACCCACAAAGATGTGTCTGTATGTGGACCCACGGACACAAAGACACAGTCATACAAATACAGCAGTCTAAATAATTAGTGCATCATGGGCTTAGGTGTGTATGTATACACGCACACAAACCCACAGAGAGACACATCAGGCACAGACACACTATGGAAAGTCAGACACAGACACACAGGACACAACATACTCTATAATCACACACATACACGCTACACAGTTGTCCACACAGACCAGGGACGCAGAGTACAGGAGAGGTAGGAGCGTTCTCTGTTTTTCTGTCTGTTTGTCTGTCTCTTTTGCTTTGTCTCTGTCTCTCCCTCCTTTTGGGTCTCCCTCTG